ATTACCATGTTAAAGTATGTAATTCAGTAGGTTTTAGTATACTTACAAGGTTGGGTAACCATCATCTAACCAAAACATTCTTTCTTATCATCCTAAAAGAAAAGCCTGTACTCCTTAGCTGTCACTCCCAATTCTCCTCTGTCCCCCATCCCCTGACAACCACTAATCTAATTTCTGATTCTCCTGATTTGTCTATTCTAGACATTCCATATAAGTGGAATCTTTTGTCTCTGGCTTATTTTATTTAGCATAATGTCCTTAAAGTTCATCCATACTATATAGCATATATTAGAGCCTCATTCTTTTTTATGGATGAATAATGGTCTATTGTACCTATATACCACATTTTGTTTATCCATTCATCAGTTGGACAGACAAATTTTATGTTGTTTCTACTTTGAGCTATTATGAATAATGGTGCTATGAACATTTGTATCCAAGTTTTTGTACAAATACATAATTTTAGTTCTCTTGGCTATATCCCTAGCAATAGAATTACTGGGCCATATGTTTAACTCTAAGTTACTCTATGTTTAACTTTTTGAGAAACTATCAAACTGTTTTCCACAGTAGCTGCACCATTTTACATTTGAACCACCAATGTATAAGCATTGCAATTATTCCACATCCCTGCCAAAACTTATTTGCAGTGTTCTTGATCCTAGCCATCTTTGTGAGTATGAGTCAATTATTTTTAAGAGTGTAGAAGATTCTGAAGCTAAAATGTTTGAGTTTTTTTCTAACAAATAGCTTTAAAAACATTAAAAAAACCCAAATTAAATAAAAAACCAACAACCCCAAAAAACGAGCTCATAGATACAGATTGATGGTTGCCAGAAGCAAGGGGGTAGGGGGCAGGCAAAATGTACAAATTTCCAGTTATAAAATAAATAAGTCCTAAGGATATAATGTACAGCATGGTGAATATAGTTAATAACACCATATTGTATCTTTAAAAATTGCTGAGAGTAGATCTTCAAAACTCTTATCACAAGAAAAAAAACTTGTAACTGTGTTGTGATGAATGTTAACTAGACTGACTGTGATCATTATCCCATATATACATATATTGTATTATTATGTTGTACACCTGAAACCAGTATAATGTAAAAAAAATCCCATAAACATAATAACATTATCAAATTAACAATAATTCCACAAATTTGTATAATACCAGGGTAATGAAGTTTGCCTGGTACAGACCCGATTAACACCTCTGTATCAGCATAACTGTTAAAAGTCTCCTTTAATTCTCAACATGCCCTGTTTAGATGACAAATTACATAAACACTCTAATTACAATTCTATGTTAAAATTTCCCTAATTGTCTTAAATATATCTTTTTATAATTTATTGAAAATGAGATCCAACATTGCATTCGATTGAGGTGTCTTTAAAAACTCTTAACGTAGGGGCCGGCCAAGTGGCTCAGTTGGTTAAGAGCTGAGTGGCTGCAAGCTGCCGACAGGCGGCCAGATGGCGACTGGATGCCAGATGGCGACTGGACTTGGAGCTGAGCTAGCTGTGCCCTCCGCACAACTAAGATTGAAGGACAACGACTTGGCTGTTCCCCTTCCCCAATTCCCCAATTAAAAAAAAAAAATGAGTGCCTTGGGTCTCCTATCAGTCAATCAAAAAAACAAAAAACAAAAAACAAAAAACCCAAACTTTTAACGTACATCAGTTCTCCCTCTACTCCAGTTCTTTCATTCCAGTTATTTATTGAAGAAACTTGGTAATTTGTGGATTTTCCACATCTTTAGCTTGGCTGATTATACTGCCTTGGCATCTTTTAATCTGTTTGTCCTCCATATTTCTTCCCACTTGGTAATCAGATCTAGAAGTTTGGTTATACTTAGGGTCAACTTTTTTGGTGCAAGAACATTTCATAGATGGTGTGTATTTCCTATTGCATCGTATTGCGAGGCACATGAGATCTGG